ATGACGTCTTGTATGACGATGACAATTTTTGAGCCCCTTGAGAAAAACGGTTGCCCCCTGAAATTTCCGAAAAAACCGTCTTGAAAGTTGAATGGTTTAGATTTACAGGGGTCGGTAACCAGCGGCTTCGGAACCGCATGAGGCCCTTTAACCCTCTCCCTGTCCAATTGGGGCTCTCAGTATCTTGCGTTTTTACCGTACTTGGAAAAATTTCTCTTCTTGTTACTTGGATTGCTGACCTCCTGGTTCAGAAAAAAATACATTTAAAATAGGCCACATCGGTAATTCTAGGGCTAAACGATGTTCTAGAATGTCGAATAAAATAATCCAGGTTGGATCAGGAATATTGGCATTTTATAATTTGGGTTGTCAATGAAATTTAGGAAGGGGCTGGGCGTGTCTAGTAGATACTGTATCTAGACTTTAAATCTGAGGATTCATGGATCGCAAAAACGCGCTTTGTACTTTGGGGCCGTGGGTGCGCTATTCGGACAAACAAGAAGTAACTTGCCCTTCTCCTAAATTGTCGGTTCAGACCTAGGGAAGGCTATCTGCAGAACAGCCCTAAGTATAGTTTTGTGCACAAATTCTTTAACAAATTCCACAATTGAGGAAAAACGAAGTATTAAATATTTCAAAGATCTCCGTTTCTTTAATGAAATGATAGTCAAATAACAGAAATAAAAATTAGCTCTAAAATATATTAAATCAAAGCACGGTAGCTGATCCAAGTATTTGTACGAAAAAGAACAAAGAAATATTTTCTGTTCGGTAACAAGTATGGTTTTTCATATTTTAAAGTGATCTTAAAATATATTTTACTTAATTTTAATAGCCTGGCGTGGCCTAGTGGTTAAGGCACTCGACTTCTAATTTTTTACTTTTTAGACAGTATAACTAACACCTAAAATACCAGATGTTGTAACCAACTCGAAATAATACAAGAGACAATATGCAAATACAGTATACAGAATAATGGGTATTTGGTACTTTCTACCTAACGGCACCTTATGTAAAACATGGGCTAAAAGTAAAACGGCCAGGTCAAAGACCTTGAAGTTAAGGCACAATCGTTCCTAATTTGGAGCTTCTGATCAGAGGGAGGGGCAACTAATCAGCAGCAACCACCGCCTTCAAGTCAGCTGTAAATCGAATAACTAGATTAAATATCACCTATAAGTTGTATAACGCGCCCACAGCTGAAAGTGTAGAGGGTGTTAAACAGCATTATCGTCAAGCCAGAGCCACGCCCAGCCTCGTACAGTAATCAACTGACTAGTATGTCGCTAAAGAATGACAAATATACAATATTTTTATCCCAGTTTATTTCTCTTTCGGTGAAAT